CTCACTGCCCCAAGTCCCAGCAGGAGGCACCCCTTCACCATCTGCACAACACTTCAAGATAGAAAAAATTTCAAATGGACAGATCACACCATCTTTATTTTTTGGAAAGACACGGTTACTTAAATTTTTATAGACTCAAGTCCAAAAAAAGTATGATTATTTGCAAAAGTTAATTCTAAACTGAACATGAACATCCCAAGTCTCTGAACATCTTGTTTCATCCAAGGCTCTTACTGTAAACTTGGATCCTAGCCTCCAAGGGAGAAGAGATGTAAGTTCTCCCGGCCCAGCGTGCCCAGTACCTTTCACAGTCGCTCTGGTCTCAATGTGGCTCAAATCTGCAGCCACTCCAGGTGTATGAGCAATATCGTAGAGGGTCAGGCGGCTCACCAAAGGGCTATTCTTTAGGAGAAGCGAAAGGGGCTGCCCAATTCCTCCAGAAGCCCCCAGCACAGCTACTTTAGCATTGTTCTAAAAAGAGACACAGAGAAAGAACTCTTAAGATACAATCAGCATTAATTGGATTCACATTAAAAGGATACCTCCTGCGAAGTACTGCACTGGCCTCTTATTGCACAAAGGAAGATACAACTGTAATTGTACCATTCAAAGATCCAGTTTCCTTGTGAAGGTTAGAGGCTTGTCTCAGGAACATGGGGAAGAACTCATGTCTGTAGAGATTTGTGACAGGGTAAACTTATAGCAGCCTCTGAAAGATGAATAAGTTTTACTCATTCAGGCAGCTGGATTGGTAACAGCAGCCTCATGTTCAATCTGCAATTTTAAAAACTATAAACTACCATTTATTGAGCACCTACCCACAGGCTAGCCATCACACATGGGACTGCAGTATGAAGACCTCTGCTGGCTCTGGAGGGGACAAGCAAGCAGATGTGTGAGGAGCTGAGGGAAAAGAGCTATGCAGACTGTGTGCAGAAGAGACTGCCTGGGGAAGAGGGGTCAGGTAAGATTCCAGCATAATCTTGGCTGGAGCCAAAGGCAGGATTAGGAGGGACATATATGTTTAAAAAGCCCCTTCTCTCCCAGGTAAGTTAGATCTGCATGCAGCCCCAGACTCCTTCTCCCAAACTTTGGTGTTCATTAGAATCACTGGCTGAGGTCACAAAACCAACAGAGGGCCAGGCTCTATCAAGTTCCCCAAGTGATTCTGACACCCAAGTTTGAGAATCACTACTGCTCCACATCAAGCAGCAGTTGGCCTGGGCATGTCAGCTGGAAGCTTTAAAAGTGACAGCTTAGTTGGGAGGGAGGGGTCAGTCCAAAGAAACTAACTGCCTCATGAACATCTGCAACGACAAAACTAGAAGCATCTGTATCACTTTATTGGTCAGCTAACTGGAACTAAAGTCATAAAACCTGACTTTAAACAGCCACTCAGAGCTAAGTAGATCTAATTGGTCATCATCTAATTGCCTTCATTTTTTTAAAAACAGCCTCACTGAGATGTTATTTTCCATTGCATAAAATTCACTCATTTAAAATGTACAATCCAATGGTTTTTAGCATATTCAGAGTTGTACAATCATTACCCTATAAAGCAACTCTTATTTTCCATTTCCCTATAACCCCTGGCAACTACTAACCTTCTTTCATCTATATGGACCTGCCTTTGCCTATTCTGGATATTTCACATATGAATGGTATCACACAACACATGGCTTCTTATGTTGGCTTTTTACTGATTACAATGTTTTAAAGGTTAATCCATGTTGTTATCAGTACCCATTTCTTTTGGCCATTCATCAGTTGATGGACAACTGGGTTATTTATAGTGCTGATATGAAGATGCATGTGGAAGTTTTTGTGCAGACATGTTTTTTTTCTCTTAATTTTATTGATTTTTAGAGGAAGGGAGAGGATTAGAGAAAGAAAAACACCACTGATTGGCTGCTTCTTGCACACCTTATTGGGGATTAAGCCAGCAACCCAGGCATGGTGACTTCTTGGTTCTGGGTCGACATTCAACCATTGAACCACACCGGCAGGGCTGTTTTTAATCTCTTGGTTACATACCAAAGAGTGCAATTGTTGGGTCATGTGGCTACTCCATGTTTAACCTTTTTGAGAAAATGCTAGACTTTTTTTCCAAAATGGCTGATATTCATCCATTAAAGCTCACTACAATTCAACAGGCATCTACTTCTGCTACACACCAGGCTGACTTGCCTGCAAAGACTCCCAAACTTAACACCTAGTGTGACAAGTGACACCGAGGCAGATTCTCAGAAGAGCAGCAGCACAAATAGGGGTGGAATAAACTGTTAGAGGGGGTTTTGAAGGATGGTAGTTCACCAAGTAGATAATGGAGGGAGGAGACAAGTAGTCCTGACAGTTCTTTATGAATCTAGCACTGTTGGATACATATGGAGAAAGGAAGAAGGGAGGGCCAAGCACAGCATTATTGGGTCCTGGTGTGCAATGGGGAACTACTGAAGGGCCTCAAAAGCTGGGAAGAACATGACCAGCTTTTCTGGGTTTTAGAAAGATATGAGACATCAGACTGTCAAACCTCAGAGGGAAGGTAGGGGAGGGTGCAGGGAAGGGGGAGAGATCAACCAAAGGACTTGTGTGCATGCATATAAACCTAACCAGTGGTCATGGACAACAGGGTTTAGGGCATATGTGGGGAGGGGTTTGGGATGGGAATGGGGGGGATGAGGACAATTATATGATAACATAATCAATAAAGAAATTAAAAAAAGAAAGATATGAGACAGTGGAAGATGGACTGGGAATATACAATAGAAGCAAGGAGACAACTGTAATAGTTTAAACATGATTGAAGAATGGGATAAAGGGAGTAGCAAGGATGGGTAGATTATGAGGGATTTGAGGAATAGTAGCTATAAAGTCACCCCATTTTCACCCAAATGGTGAGTAGAGGAAGGAACGAACCTGGGGTGACAAATTTTGGCTCAAGCAGACAGCACTGCTTTTAACCAATAGAGAGAACTGACGAGTTTAGAGGTTTTGAAGAAAGGATAACGAATTGTTTGGCACACTGAATTTGGGCCACTTGAAACATCCATGCACAGTAGGACCCTGGACAAAAGACTTGGCCTGGAGGTCACAGTGTCTGCACTGGAATTAATGAAAGCCAGGAACATGGACAAGCACAAAAAGGAACAGAATGAGAAGAGCACCAGGACCAGAACACCAGCATTTAAGGGGTGGGAGGAAGGCCATCCCACCCCAGACATTTTAAACAACTAATTCAATTACTACCTTCTTGGTGATCTTTCCTACAAGGATCAGGCCTTATTATATAGTAACCAGAGGCCCAATGCATGAAATCTCCCTTTCACAGCCTGGGAGCCCTGGGGGGAATGTTTGACTGCCGCTCAGGCGGGGAGGGGAGCGGGCCTAAGCCAGCAGACATCCTTAGCACTCATCTTTCTGACATACTGCCTTTCCAACATCTCTACTTGTAGGTGTAACAGGCATTTAAAACTCAACATATATAAAACATATATTCCACCTGCCCCAAACCACTCTATTCCGGTAGTTTTTTTTTTTCATCTCGGCAAACCCCAAAGCTTCAGAGTCCTCCATTCTCCCCTTCCTCTCAGTACCCCTCACCAAATCATGTCAGTAAATCCCACTGTCTTACCTTTGGTCAGTTCCCTTCTCCCACTCCTCAGCATCAATCTTCATCACCTCCTACAGTCTTAAATTGACTCATTTTTGGCTTACCTCAAGTGCTACTTCTCACTCATCTTGATATACCCTGCAACACCCAGCCTAATTCTTTACAATCACAGATACTCAAGATTCTAATTTTTCACATGAGTTAAATGCACAGAAAAGTGATGGGAAGGACAGAAACTAGATAAGAAATTTGGAATCTCTTTTAATAATCACCCCTTTTTTGGGTATGGCAAGATAAGCATCCCTGGGTTTTGATTTTGGTTGTACTTAGAATCACCTGGGGCACTTGGTAATAATAGAGGGCCAGATCCTACGCTCTTTAAATAAATATTGGCCTGTTCTTTATTAGCTTTTTGGTGATTCTGCCACACGCCAGAGTTTGAGAACCACTGTCTTAGAAAATATAGCTAAAAATAGCTTAGGTTTTAGCAATCCCAGGCCACGTAATGCGCTGTTACAACACTGGGGGCAGGCCCAGTCCACTACAGCATAAGGATCCTTCATAAAAGTCCTTAAGAGTAAGTAGTGTTCAGGTTCTTGCAGGGTTGGTTATCCAAAAACCATTGACAGTGATCAGGAGAGCTGAATTTTAATATTCTGGCTAAATGACTGTGTTAACTTTGAACCAGTTCTCTACCCTCGGTACCACGCCTGTCCGTACTATGGAGTTAATAATTACATATTATTTGTACGGATGCTGCAAGAAGAACAAGGTTATTCACTCAACGTTGCATAAAAACAAAAATTACTCTCGACCCTAGATCCCTGGCTTCTCAACCTTGAAGGATTGCAGTCTAAGAGCAAGCAAGCCCTCTGGAGGACCCCGGGAGAAGGGGGCGGGGGAGTCGAGCTTGGGGATTCGAAGAAGTGCACTGGTTCTGGAGTTGGGGCACCTTCCCCTCTCTGCCCCGCACTTCCCGCCCGGTATCAGGACCAGCCTAGGGTGCCCAACCGCCGACCGGTACCCGGCGGCCCAGCGGTGCAGGCTGGCCCCCGGGTCGGGGCTGCTCGCGAGCTAGGGACGCACGTGGCCCAGGCCGGGGGCTCCGCCTGCAGCCAGCCCCTCGTCGGGCCTACCTGGGCCGAGGTGCTGAAGCTGCGGCGGAGAGCGGCGCCGGCAGGCCGAGCGAGGGCGGAGAGCATGGCTGGGGCGGGCGGGGCGCGGACCAGCAAGCGAAAGAGCTGGCGGCGGGCAAGTGACTCCAACGACCTCCACAGGATGCAGGGCCTCCTCGCTCGGTTCCCGGTTCCGCTGGGCCTCGCGAGAGGAGCCCAACTTCCGGCCCCGCCCTCACGTCCCAGATCTCGCGGTATCACGACTGTCCCGTAGGGGGGCGGAACGACGCTCCTAGCCCAGGGGGAGTGCAGCCTAAGGCTGGTTCGAATCGAGTTTTGGGCGGCGAGTGGGGGAAGGACTGACTGTCAGAGTTGGGGGACAAACTCTCCCTCCCAAGAGGTGCAAGAGGACGGGGTTTAGGCTGGAAGAGCCTTAGAGGAGCCATTTTCCAGGTGGGGCTCCAGACAGACTCTGAGTGGGGGACCGGCCAACAGTCGCGCAAGCAGGCCTGGCGGCCTGGGTGCGGTCCGAGGCGCTCTCCTCTCCTCCCCCTCCCCCAGACCGCAGCTGAACCCACTACCCCTGCCCCTGGAAAGGAAAGGGGGCGGGGAGGAGAGGTAGAGCGTCCCATAGGTGGGGTGGCAAGATGGGGGCTCCCTTAATCTGTCACTCTCATGCATCCCTTTCTCACACTCACGTGCCGCCCACCCCCTGTCCCTCTGAGACACCGCAATAGGGAATAGCCGACTATGAGCACTGACTTAGCTCTAGGCACTGTTCAACGGGCTTTACAGGACAACAGCCCTGTGTTAGAGGAAGAAACAGGTATCTAGGTAACTTATATTTTCACCCAAGCCCCACCCCTTAGGTCTGGCCAGCAATGCTGGGAACACAACCACATTGTTTCTGCTCTGGGAACCAAGAAACTGTGACTGCAGTTAAGGGATTTTATTCAGAGTTTACTCAGACAGAAAATACTAATGTGGTTCCTGCTCAAAAGGAGTTGATTTAAATTTATGAATTAAATTTAAGCTTCATTCCTCCCCCTCCCCCTGCTATTTTCTGGGCATACAAAGAATCCTTATCCGCAAAAAGTTCAGAGTCAAGTGGGGCAGGTAGATTTACTGCAGATTGTTGCCTTCAGAGGAATGCGCAATCCCACGGTGGGTTGGTGGAGACGGGCATGGGTGTATGTGTGTGGAAATCTATGACTAAGCCTGCTTGGAAGCGGTTAGTTTTTAAAGCAAAGATTAAAAGAACAATTCCCATGGGTACTAAAGTCAAGGTAGTGCATGGTGACTGGTTTACTATTTCCTCCCTCCCTTCCACTTGTTTATTGAGCTACTAAGATATGCCAGCCCAGTCTTGGAGCTGGGTGTTCAACTGTGAACAAGATCCACGCATTTTATGCCTTTAAGACACGGCATCTAGTGAGAACAAGAGGTAAATTGCAAGCAGCATGATGTGGGCAACACTAGGAGTCTTATGAGGTACTATGGGAACTCAGAGGAGCTGTATCTAACCCAGTTTGGGGTTTGGGTGGGGCCTGTGTGAGAGAGGACCTCCAGAGGATGAAACATCTAAGCTGAGAGACATACAGGAGAAGTAGAACTAGTCTGGGCCGATTCAGCTCCAGAGGAGCTGGGCATTGGAATTCTCAGAGGAGAGGGCATTAGGAGCTGGACCTTGTGCAATGCAGAGTGTGTAAAGGAGAAAAGAGCCCAAAGAAAACCCTGGAGGTAGGAAAGCCTAGGCCCATATTCAGGGGACAGTGTATAGATAATTTCTGATGGGATGGGGATGAGAACAAGCAGTGTCCTCTATCTTGCCACTGACCACATTCTCTGGTTATTTACCTTTCTATCTTAGCATTAGAACTTTGAGCACCTTGGGTGAGGTATCTTCTCTTTCATCTCTGTGTCTTTACTGTCCAGCATTAACCAGGCTGAGAGTGAAGCTTTGGATTTGGGGAGAGTTGAATGGTTTTAGATAAAGCTGGAAAAAGCAGGTTGGAAAAACCAGATTGTGTAGGACCTATGAACATTAGCTGAGAAGTCTGTATTTTATTTCTTGGGAAGCAAGTGTTTATCAAAGGCTTATATGTTGCCACCACAACTGTGAAGATTAGACTGACCCAGGCATGCTAAGGACTTCAAGGGAAAAATGTGGGAGGCAGGAAGATTGTGTAGGAGGCTATCTTATGAGATCAAGATCTGAGTGATGACGGCGTTCATAGAAATGGAGAATGTGGGGCCAAAGAGGGAACAATCCTAAGGGCTTAAGAAATGATTGAAAGGAATGTGGGAATCAGCTTGAGAGAATTATATTTGTACAGAAGTGGAAGGAGAGCTGGCTGGAGAAAATAAAGAGCTCCTTTTAAGATGGGCTGAATTGGAAGTGATGGTGAGTTATCCATATAGAAATAATAGTAGATAAATGGGGAGTTACTTCTAAGAAGAAATGTGGGATTGAAAGTCAGGAGAGAGGCCAGGCCTGAAGTCATCCCTCTCGAAGGGAAAGTTAAGGCCACGAGAGAGAAGCTAGAATCACAGATTCTCAGGCTCACCCCCACAGATGGGGCTTGATACTCTCCCCATCCCTGCCAAGTTAGCCCTGTCATCACCTCCACAACTCACTACCTCCCAAGTCCTTTACTGGGGCCATTCCAAACAACTTGACAACAAAGCTGTCCTTACAATCAGTTCCTATCTGCTTCCCTTTAAATCCCAAGATTGTTCATATCAAGCATTGACTATGCCAGGTGCTGTGCTCTGCTTCGCCCATGTAACTGTTTCACTGAACATTCAGGGCTGTATTCAAGAAACCTAGTGCATTGTAAAAACAGATTTATATCTTCATCCCCACTCTTTCTTGGAATATTTGGTTGCCCTTGGATTACATCTAGTCACCAGGACAGACTCACTGCAATAGCCTAAATGTCTAGTTCACTTTAATAGTCAAAATTCTGAATTTAATTCAAAATTAAAGCAACTCTCCTTCTCTAGCTTTACTTAGGCTCCTACCTTTCCAGAGGAGGGTGGTTGACTTCTATATTTCTCCATCTTGCTTCATCATCTCCCCTGTACCACCACACCGCGCAGACTGAGGCTTCAGACCCATTGATATTGGAGGGGGTGTATGAGTAGATATGGGGCAGGAAAGGTCCCTTTGTCATGTGGCATTAGTAGTCTGTGAGCTTGATGAGAGCTTATCTGATTCTTTCCTCCATATAGTGCTTTTGTGGGTCTCTCTTAACTGCAGTTTCCCTGACCTAGGGGTTACACTTGTCTTGCTGCTTTCAGTTGCTCCCTCAGCCCCTGGTTTCTGGAATCCCCCAAACCCCTGCAATTGGTCCTTTGGCCCTCCAGGTGGCTCCTTCTAGGCAAAGTCCATTAACATGGTTCCTAGTTGCCCTTCTCTCCTGCCTGGGCCACATCTGGTCTATAGGGAACATTAATGCATCTTTTGCCTCAACAGATTATGTGGGTGCAGACCATTTCAATGCAACCGCCTCAGACTTTTCCAGGCGAGGGCCTACCACCAGCTTCTGTGCCTGCACAAGAGGGCACAGTCCAAGCTATTTTAGGAGTTTTTCTCTCTGGTTTCATGATTTGTGAATGTTTGAAACTTGTGTTTGAAACTTGTGAGATGTAAATTTTGAAAAAAAAGAAAAAAAAAAGAAGGGTGCTGAAAGGAGGGGGCTAAGGGAAAATAGGGAGGAGGAAGGATTAGGTAAGGAGAGGATGAGGTCAAAGGATGCTTATCTCTGACTGGGAGAAAGCTGGAAGGGCATTCGGGCAGTTGGCGGGGGAGGGCCTTTCATACCCCATGTCTTTAACCTTTCCAGGTAGAACTAGAAAATTATACAGAAGTTGCTCATTGAGGACTCAAGGAAGGTGAGGAGGTTTGGATAAGAGTTGTAGGCCTTGGGGAAATCCTGGACAAATGAGAAATGATGAAAAGAGGATTCACTGATGGTGATGGGAGCCAAGCTGAAGTTCTATGGTGAGTATTTTCTGTATGTCCAAGTCCTCATTGTTTCCTATGCCCAGATCCCACACCAAGATCATGGACAAACAGGTTGGGCTACAGACTCATATCCATATACACATCTGTGTATTCACATCTTTTGTTTTTTTAATCCTTACTTGAGGACATTTTTCCATTGATTTTTAGGGAGAATGGAAGAGAGAGGGAAAGACAGAGACAAACATCGATGTGATAGAAATACATTGATTGATTGCCTTCTGCATGATTCCCAACTAGCGCCTGGGCTGGGGAGGAACCTGCAATCAAGGTACAATGCCCTTGACTGGAATTGAACCTGGGATCCTTTGGTCCACAGGCTGACGCTCTGTCCATTGAGCAACACTGGCTAGGCTGCATTCCCATCTTTGAACACATAAACCCATGGATCTACACAGGGGATTTATATTTATTTTTGATTGTCATATATGATACAGTATACCAATCTTAAGTGTTCAGTTGGTTGGTTTTGACCATTTATACCCTTATAATGTCCACCCAAACATGAGACAGAATATTTTCATTCCAGAAAGTTTTCTCATGATTCTTTTCATCAGTTCTCCAAAACAGCTACTTCCTGTCACCATAGATTCATTTTGCATGCACTTTTTCTAAAAAAATATTTTTAATTGATTTTTTACAGAGAGAAAGGGAGAGAGAGCTAGAAACATTGATGAGAGAGAAACATCGACCAGCTGCCTCCTGCACACCCCCTGCTGGGGATATGCCCGCAACCAAGGTATATGCCTTTGACCGGAATTGAACCTGGGACCTTTCAGACTGCAGACTGATGCCCTATCCACTGAGCCAAACCAGTTTCGGCTGCATGTTCTTCATTGTATATTTTTATACACAATATACAAATACATTAATACCCACCTTGCCTAATCCCACATGAACACAAATTGCACATGCACATATACTGACCATTTTGTACTGTAAGCTTAGATTGTGTTTAAGAGCTAATAAATATTTGCTATTAGGTCACATATTGTATAATAACTTTCTCTTCAACCCTAAAATCATACCTCAAGTGAGATATTTTAAATCTTCCCTTTCTGAATCTTGGAGCTAAAACAAAGAGAGAGGTGGTAATCATTCCACCTTGCATGATAGTTTTCTTTATTTTCCTGTAGGGTATTGGAAACTGGGGCTATATATTTTAAAACAGCACCATATTTAGATAGATAGATTTAGCTTTAGTTGTGGCTCATTCCTGCTTAAAGTCAAAAGGATTTGACTCTCTAAGATATATTCCAGTAGAGCAACTATAAGATTATGGACTGGCAGAGTAAAGGCAGCAGGAAGCTGCTGGCAAAGAGCTCCCAAGAGCTTAGAATCAGTGATGGTGATAGAGCTAAGTCAGGAACAAAACCTTCAGTCTTCCAGACCAGTAAGAGGTTAGGGAAGTGAAAGAAAAGCTGAGTCCAGAGCCTGGTCAGGGCCAAGGACCCATGTCAGGAGCAGAAGGTGAGGCCTAAGCTCATCAAGGAGCAGGGGAGAAACAAGTGCTGGAGGCAGAGTTGGAGGAGGCGAGACCAGACATGGTGGCCACAGCTTTTGGGAGTGGGGTGTTGCAGCTCACCAGCCCTTATCTCCGACTACTGATTTGCTGCATAGATAGACCTGTCAACTTCACAAGACCACTAGGTACCTCTCGGATGCAGTGAGCCTAGATTTGGGGACATGGAAGTGAAGGCAAGAAAGGAGATAAGGGATAGGGGTGTGAGCAGCTGGTTCTAGACCTCAGGCTCATCCCTGCTACTTCTAAAATACAGAAATACTGGCTATCACTAATAGAACCTGGTGCTCCTCTGAAATGAGATTTCTGTACCACTTGTGTATACGCTGAACCTCTGGGGTATTGTGGCCTAGGACTATGATCTCTAGCTTTCAAGGTTTAGGCACAAGAAGTGTTAGGCTGAAATCAAGGAAAGACTGTATCTGATCCTCAGACAACACCCCTGATCCCTATCACTTATAAGTTTGACCAGATCCTGCTATGGTATTTGGCCTGAGATGCTTTAAATGGTGCTTTCTGTGTATTGAGCTTGTAGCCATTACCAGCTCCTAGATGAAGTTGAAAAGAGATAGGATAGGAGTAAAGGAACTTCTGTTTCCTAAGCTCCCACTCTATGCCAGGGTCAGTACTGGGTAGTTTATATCAGTTATCTCAATATAACATTCATGTAGCCTTTTAGTGTGTATTACTATCTCAGTTTGCAAGTGAGGGTATTGATATGTGCCACTGTATTTAAGCCTTGGTCATCCTGGCACAGCCTCAGTTTCCCACAGAGAACCACGGGGTAACGGGGCTGGCTGTGGACCCTGACTCATATCTGTGCAGTTCTCTGGTCCCTGCTCAGTCAAGAGCCCAAAGTGAAGTTCATGGTCTGTCTGGTTTCTCCAGGAGCATTAAGTGATACTTCTTTTCCACTGGAAGCCAATGCCCATCAATTGTGCCCACCCAGATTGAGTTGGAACGAGCATTAGACCAAGCTCTGAGTGTCCGGGAACTCCTGTGAGAAGCCTGGGGTCAGGCCTAGCCTCTTAAAGCCATGCAGTCAAACAGAATGGAGGGTCCCAGGCATTGAGAAAGGCTGGGTCCAGCCAGTTTCCTCTTCAGTCTCAGGCTATGGCAACCCCTTCCAACTGACTGCTTTCCTCAATATAGACGTGCTCTCAGTGGAGCTGAGCTCACCAGACCCACTGCAGGACTGCTCTTGCCTGGCTGGGAGAGCTATACACAAGCCTCCTGGTTTAGAGTTAGGTCATCACAGGAAGGGTAAAGTACCTTCTTACTGGTGGATGTCTAATGTTTTGGGACCAGGCCTGTACTGGCACACTGCTCTCCTGACAAAGTAGGTGGCTTTGCTTGCCACCCAGAAAGTTGTGTGGATTTCCCTGATGGGTCAATTAATAGAAGTTCAGTTTCATTCCATCAAACCAGATCTGCAGAGTGTGCTCCCTCAGACCACCCTTCCCACCTGCATGCTTCATCAACCCAGCAAGAACTATCTCATTAAACTCCCTGAAAGTCTCTTAAGAAGAGCATGCTGTGCTGAAAGAGTACAAAGGGGGATGTCTTAGACTTGCCATTTTGACTCCATTGTTGAAAATGACTTTGTAGAAATAATAACTACACATGAAATTCACAGTGGCAGAAATCATACTCAGTAAAATATGATTGAGGAATCAAATCTTTAATCTAAAATTCACATGGGGAAAAAAAGACATGATTTTGGAAAAAATAATCTTGACTAAACAAAATGGAAAGTGAAAAAAATTAGAATTAGTTAACTGAAATATAGAAAATCAAGGAATAAATCAGTGGAATCAATTAAGGAAAATACTTTTGGCAAAATCTCAAAAGTAGTTTGATAGTTTTATGTAAAAGTGCAATATCAAAATATTCTGAGGGCTCAAATGGTGGAGCCAGAACATCTTAAACCCTGTAGATTTCAGTGTAGCATTCAAAGGGATGTTAGCTCTCAGTCCTCCACTCACCCAGGCTAGTGGTACCACTGATCTTCAGCTCATGGGGTTGTATCATCTCTCGGAACCCTGTTGTGAGGTTCAGAGACTGCTCTCATCCTTCCTGCACTTGACTGGCACATGAGGGGCAGTTCTTGCCTGACCAAGGAGAGTGCTATTTTTGGGAAGGAGGTAAGTCTGAATATCCCTGTGGCTGAGTTTTTACCTGGATGCCAAGAGACAACTCCTTGGGCTAGTGAATAGAGAGATAGAGGTTGTAATGGGGAGATATATATTAGGTGGGAGCTTAAGGATGGGGTGTGAGCGATAGACCAGATAGGTTGGAGCCAGTTTTTAGATTGCCTTAACGAAGTGGCTGGACCAGTCCCAAAACCTGTCCTCTTTCCCCTGTACTCACCACCTCCAGAATGGCCTGCAGACAGGGCTTTCAGAGTCTGAGGACCTGACCCGAGGTGGGGATGGGGAGGTCCTTCAGAACCTACACATGGAATCCTACAGGTGGAATCTATATGTATGACATCATGTCAGAAGGCTCCATTGGTGACCACAGTAGTGAACAAGAAGGACAAGGTCTCTGTCCTAACAAGCCATACATTTCAGTGGGAGGAGACTGTTGATAAAGCCAACAAACAATGAGTGATAATGTCAGGTAATGACAAGTGAGGTGAAGACAAACTTAATTTTTGAAAAAGATCACCCTGACTGTCATTTGAAGATCAGACTGTAGGGAGAAAGCACGAAGTCCAGTGGGCAGGTATTATATCATCAGGAGAGGGATGGTAATATCTTGGTCTAGAATTTTAACCCCGAAGATGGAAAGAAGTAGATGGATTTGGAATATATTTAGGTAGTAGAGCTAATAGAGTAGATGTGAGGGGTGGAGGAAACAGGGATTAGTGATGTGGACTTATGTAATTAGGTAGATAATGGTGCTATTTATTGAGACTAAAGACTAAAAGATAAACATGCATTAGAGGTGTGGACATGAGTGAATTAAAAGCCCAATATTGTTTTTGTTACATTTGAGATGCTAATTAGGCATCTAAGTGGAGTCAAGCTCAGTGGAGAAGTCAAGCAGGGATACAGTTTGGGACTCATTGGTATACAGGAGTGAGATGAACTAGCTAGACTCTAGATTTTAGAGTGGTGGTTTTCAACTAACATTTTTTAAATTAAGCAATAATTTTCAGTTTACTAAATGAAACACACCTGCAACACAGTCTGCATTAAATACAAAAGCCATCTATTGCAAGTGATAAGGAAACTGGGTAAAAGGGGGGAAAGCATTGGAAAAAAGATTCTCTTGGAATAAAAAAATCAAACCATTATTATAAAGGATGTTACCAAGAACTGTTATATTTTCCCCGTCTCATTGATGGAAGTCAACAAGAACATCTAGCACTTTGTGTTCATGCCAAATGTCAGATCAGAGCATCTTAACAAAAAAGAAGCCCTTGCCAAAATCGGTTTGGTTCAGTGGATAG